AAAAAAAAAAAAAAAACCTGACCTGGTATTTACCTTGTATGTCATGGGAATTGTTTAAGCCCATACTTATTCCATGCATTTTGTGCATTATAACTGGATGCCTTTTCTCAGTTTACATTTTGTCATCTTTAACTTAAATGACTACGATAGGCACATGTCCTGAAGATGTCCATGTCTTAATCCCTGGAACCTGTGAACGTTATGTTACATGGAAGAAGGAAGTTTACCTACGCAACTCAGGACACGGACTGTAAAATAGGGAGATTATTTTGGATTATCTGGGTGGGACCAATATAATCATGTGAATCTTTAAGCTCATGGAACTTTCTCCACTGAAGTCAGAGAGACTTCAGAAGGGCAAACCAGAGAAAGACTTGGCCCACTGTTGTTGGCTCAGAGGTGGAAGGGGCTAGGGACTTCAGTCCTACAACCGTAAGGAACTAAATTCTAAATGACTCTGGAAGTGGATTCTCCTCCAGTAAGGAAGGTAGTTCTGCCTACACCTTGCTTTTGACCTTGTGAAGCACTGAGTAAAGAATCCAGTCATGCCCTGCTGGACTTCTGACCTTCAGAAACTGTGAGATAAACAAGTGTTGTTTTAAGCCACTAAATTTGTTAGACAGCAATAGAAAACTAATACAGTAAACTTTCATATCATTATTTAAAAATTTATCTGGCCTGTTTACATTTTGAAAAACTTCTAGTTTTCTTCCCCAATCTCCAATCTTTCCTTCCTTCTTACAAAACTACTGACTTTGAGCTGGACATGACTGCTTGGATAATGACCATATTTCCTAGTTTCTCTCCCTGGCTTGGTGTGGCCAGGTGTGACTAAATTCTAGCCAATGACATTCAATCAGATGAGATTGGGCGCATTCAGGGTGTATGGCCATAGACAATGACATTCAATCAGAAATGTTGAGTGCACCTTTCTGGAAGCTTCTTTAATGAAAAGGGGTGTGCCCTTTGTCCCCTCCTCCTTCCTGGGGGCTGTTAGGCTAATATAATGGCTGGAACTCAAGGGACCATCCCGGGTCATGTAGTGGCATGCTAAAGATGGCAGAATAGCAAGAAGGGAGACTGGGCTTGGGGGGATCATAAACCTGCCATCTGTCCCTGGACTCTATTCACAGTCTTCTATTTTGCTAAAGCTATTCATATTTTGGGTTTCACCATTACAGCCAAACCTCATCCTAATCATTTTACCTTATTTATGTCTCACTGTAATTAGTAAGGTAATACAGAGGCCCTATGTTCTAGGAGATGAACAATCAAGTTTGAGCAGTGAGCAGTTGTTTTTGAGAAATTTGATGGATTTATCATCTTGGAATTGCAAAGTATGACCAAGTGGTGCTGATCAGTACCTTTCATTCTTGGCACGGTTCTGATTTTTTTCTAGAATTATTCATAGTTCTCTATATCTACCCCGCCTTATTTATACAGATAAAGACAAGTAAAATGTACCTTGCAAGTAGTCTAAGTATCTGTTATATTTATGCTCTTCTACTTATCATATTTAACTAAACCTAACCCATTTTATTCACTCTTCTTCATTCAGTATATTAATTACCTTTTAGCACATTTAAGTGACTTTTCTTTCTTTCTTTTTTGAGTCAAAGTCTCACTCTGTTGCCCCCCAGGCTAGAGTGCTGTGGCATCAGTTTAGCTCACAGTAATCTGAAACTTCTAGACTCAAGTGATCTTCCTGCCTCACCCCCTAAGATATCTGAAACGACAGACGACCACCATGATGCCTGGCTAATTTTTCTATTTTTAGTAGAGATGGGGGTCTTACTCTTGTTCAGGCTGATCTTGAACATCTGAGCTCAAGCAATCCTCCTGCCTCAGCCTCCCAGAGTGCTAGGATTATAAGTAGAAGCCACTGCATCTGGCCTAAGTGACTTTTTTCTCATGACATGTCATAATAGACTGCCCGAGTTTTAAAATTCACATATTCTAATTAACTATATTATTTTCCTTGTGATAATAAAATTGTTAAAGCATGTCAAGTGGGCTTCTCTTCAAATTGGTTTCTTTATCTTTTCAGCTTTACACTGTACATTTAAGAAGTATCTTTTCTTTTCTTTTCTTTTCTTTTTTTTGAGACAGTCTCAGTTTGTCGCCCTCAGTAGAGTACTGTGGCATCTTCATTCACAGCAACCTCCAACTCTTGTGCTGAAATGATTTTCTTGTCTCAGCCTCCCAAGTAGCTGGGACTACAGGCACCTGCCACAATGCCCAGCTATTTTTAGAGATGGGGGTCTTATTTTTGCTCAGGTTGGTCATGAACTCCTGAGCTCAGGTGATCCACCTACCTCAGCCTCCCAAGTGCTAGGATTACAGGAGTGAGCCACTGTGCCTGGCCTATGTTCGCTTTTCATCATCAACAACATGTTCGAGGCTTAGAGTTATTTATAGCATACACACAGGTATTATCCAAGGAACCCCAGGGCTGGGTTTTTTTGTTTGTTTGTTTGTTTTTTGAAGAGCCTCAAGCTGTTGCCCTGGGTAGAGTGCCATAGCATCACAGCTCACAGCAACCTCCAACTCCTGGGCTCAAGTGATTCTCCTGCCTCCACCTCCCAAGTGGCTGGGACTACAGGTGCCCGCCACAATGTCTGGCTATTTTTTGGTTGCAGTCGTCATTGTTGTTGTTGGTGGGGCTGGGTTGGATTCAAACCCATCAGCTCAGGTATATGTGGCTGGTGCCTTAGCTGCTTGAGTCACAGGTGCTGAGCCTTTTTTTTTTTAATGGTGACTAATATTTGGGGCAAAGATCCAGATATTAAGAATGCATATCAAATTGTTCTGATGTTTCTATGCTATGTTAGTGACAAAATTTGAAAAAAAATGTGTTTTTTTCAAGACAACATTTTGCTCTGTTGCCCAGGCTAGAGTGCGCAGGCACCATAATAGTTCACTGCAACTTCAAACTCCTGGCTTCAAGTGATTTGCCTGCTTCAGCCTCCCAAGTAGCTGGGACTACAAGTGCCCACCAACACACTTGGCTAATTTTTCTAGTTTTTTTTTTAAGAAATGGAAGTCTTGGCTTGGTGCCTATGGCTCAAGTGGCTAAGGCGCCAGCCACGTACAACCCCACCAAGGTGGCGGGTTTGAATCCAGCCCAGGCCTGCCAAACAACAATGACGGCTGCAACCAAAAAATAGCCAGGTGTTGTGGTGGGCGCCTGTGGTCCCAGCTACTCGGGAGGCTGAGGCAGGAGAACTGCTTGAGCCTAGGAATTGGAGGTTGCTGTGAGCTGTGATGCCATAGCACTCTACCCAGGGGGATAGCTTGAGGCTCTGTCTCAATAAAAAAAAAAAAAAAAGAAATGGAGGTCTTGCTATATTGCTCAGGCTGGTCTTGAACTCTTGGCCTCAAATGATCCTCCCACTTTGGCCTTCCAAAGTGCTGAGGGTACAGATGTGAGCCAATGTTCCTGGCCATTTTTTTTTTTTTAAATCACAAATTCACGTTGGTACTTCCTATTTAACTGAACATTGCTACATCTTTTTAATTTTTCTGTAATGTATACTTTTATACTTATTTTATCTATAAATAACTGCTTCTATCCTATACGCCCCGATCCAAACGATAATGGCATTTTGTCTCTTTAGTAATCCTGTAGTGTCTTGTCAACTGCCATTTTCTACCTACCTTATTTAAATATTCATCTGTGCTGGGCCAATGGGACAGTACCATACAAATGAGAGACAGAGAGAGTTTATGATACTGGGGAGAGCAGTTGAAGTGGTAAATCACAGAATCCCAGATAATAGGAAGCTTACGAAGGAGAATAAGACAGCATGGATCAGGAGAAAGAAGGGAGATGGTGGGAACAGGCTGGGACAGGCACAGGGCAAGTAACTGGGTGAGAGCTGGGAGGAAGGAGGTGGCAGAGTGTGGAGTGACTGAAGTTCAGACTTCCAAGGTGAAGCAGTTGCAGGAAGTGGCTAAGCAAGAAGGTGCATGGTCACTGATGTGTTCCATGGTCCCCATGTCACCTTCTACCCCCACCTCCAGCTCTGTACACCCTCTCCCAGCTCTGCTCTCAGCCAGAGCAAACAACACACACCCAAGTCTCGGATGGGGAGGTAAGGGCCAGAGTCCATCTGGGACCTGACACCGAGGTGTGACCAAGGTCCCTCCCTGCCAGCTGTCCCCATACAAATCCAGAATATTGACCATGTTCAGGCCAGGCGCATCCCCCCCGCTTCCTGCCTTACCAGCCCTCCCACACTTCTGCTTGTGGCTGAGCCTCCTGCTCTGCCCCATATGGTGTTGGTTCAGCTTCTGATGGTGTTGGCAGAGATCTGGAGATCTGTGATGCTGGCACTCCTCACAGGAAGAAGCCTGCAGGTATGCTGAGGCTAGTCCATCTGGGCCCATCTGGGGGCCTGTCAGGTTCACCTGTGCCACCTGTCCCCAAATAGCACTGAGCAGGAAGCTGGGGTGGGGGACAGGAGAAGCAGGGATTACAAAGTGGTGCAGGCCTCCCTATCTGCCAATCCTTGCCCTGACCCAGGGCTGCAGAGATGAAGAGATGCAGCAGGTGGCTGGGAAGGCAACTATGGGCGGGTGGGAAGGGCCAGGTCCAGAAATGCCACAGCTCTACTTTTCTCTATTTACCTTGGGTGTTTGGCACAGGGTCTCATGCAAGGAAGTGGGATACAGGAAGCTGGAGGGAGCCCCTCTCTTGCCACAAAGATGCTGTTTCTGGGGCAGGAGAGGGCAGAAGGCAGTGGTCAGAGGTTAGATTCCCTGGGCCCTCAGAGAGGGAAGATGAGGAAGCCAGAGAAGCTTGAGTATTTCCAGCCACCCAGCAGATTCCCTCGACGCAGGCGCAGGGACACCCTGTCCCCGGGGTCCAAGGGCAGTAACACAGAGCTGGTGGCTGCCTCCCGGGTCACATCAGGATCATTGGCAAAGGCTGAGATGACAGGCCATGTGTTCAGCATCAGGCTCACCTGGGAGAGGAGCCCAGTCAGTATGCATGTCCCAGCCCTTAGCTCAGGACCCTCACTTTCCCAAGGGGTTGCACTGGGGAACCTGGGGCTTACTGGACTTTCCTGGGAGGGCTGAGGGGTGGCCAGCATTGACTCTGACCATTCTCTATACTTTCTGCTAGGCAGGTCTGCTCGTCTCCTGCTCCTGGCCCCCAGGACCTAGATCAGTGGAGAGTCTGCCCAGGGATCAGCTGGGCTCCAATTATTCCCCCTCCTCTCTCCTGAGCTGGGAATGGAGTCTAGGGCTCAGATCACCTGAACGGTTTGGCGGTTGTACACCTTCACCACGTGGAATCGGAAGCTGTAGACACCCCGGACTGGGGCCACGAAGGAGCCTGAGGCCCGGTCAAAGCCACCACCTTCATTCACCAGGACCTGGGGAAAGCAGATCCTGTTGAATGGGGCTAGGCGAAGCCTGTGGCCAGGATACCACTGGGATTGGGGACAGGGGTAGCAAGTAAGGAGCAGAAGGAGTGGCAAGTGGTATTGAAGAGGAATATATGGATTCAAAGGAAACCTGGGGGGGAGGTAAGGAGGGGTCTGTATGTGAATGGGGTGGAGGAGAAACTGGCTAGGTTGGGGAACAGTGTAGGGAGCTGTTTTCTTAAAGTCTGAAGATAACAAAATGGGTTTGGATAGTTGGTTCCAGGTCCTTGCAGGGTATTTCCAGATACCCTAGCCAGAGGTAGGGGGATTACCTGGTCGAAGTAGATGGCTCCACTGGTGCCGTTGCCGGTCTCCCCTGCTGGCTCATGGTGGTGGCTTCGGACTGCAGCAAATGCCACTCTTCCTGGGGGTGCCTCTCCCAGGGCTGCTCCCCCAGGCCCTCCTGCAGCAGCTCTGCCAGGCTCACAGACCACCAAGCACTCACCCTCCAGCAGGACGGGTTCTGACCCCTCCTGAGCCCACCCGGACCCCAAGGCCAGAAGCACCAGAGCCAAGGGCAGCCTGGAGCTGGGCAGGAGACCTGGTATCCAGTGCGGTTTTGCTCCCAACATGGCTGAGTGGCTCTGCAGCCCTCAAGTCCTCTCCGTTTCTGCTCCTCTCCTCAACTCTCCCCAAGGTCACTCTGCTCCTCAGCCCTCTCTAGGTCCACCCCCCAGTACCCTCTCTCCATACCTCTCTGTGTCCCACCGCTCTGCCCTGCCTCCCACTCAGTTCCTCCCGCTGGCACTGCAGTTCCTCCTCCTTGGCAGAGTGTGAAGTGATAGCAGTTGGGCTTTGGGAGGGAGAGGAGAGATGAAGCCGCCCTACAGGAAGGCTACATCCAGGGCAGCCGTCTGGATAGGACAACACTGAAGGCTGGACCCGGAGGATGGAGAACACGGGTGTATGAGAGGAGAATGTGTGCTTTGCGCCTGTGGCCGAGCCCTCCTCCTCATTCCTCCCCTCTTCAACCCCTCTCACAAATCAACCGCCCTTCTCAGTGGCATCTTTCCATTTGTTGGAAGAAAGGGATGGTCTTTTTTCCCACGATTGTTTTGGTAGGAAGTGCTTGGGACATGAGCACCACTGTCTGGTGACCCTGGGCCAGTCATGTTCCCTCTTTGGTCTTCCACATCTTTATCTGAGGGGACCAACTTTCAACTAGTGGTTCCTCTTTCCCGGGAAAGAGCTGCGCAGGGCGCGGGACAACCCCGAGAGACTGGGAGATCAACGTGGAGCTGGCGGGGAAGTGCGCGGGGACTGGCCACCGGCCGTCGGGGACGCGGGGGAGGAGCGAGCGCGCAGCCTGGCCCCGGGCCGGGCCCCGTGCAGGCCCAGCCCCGGGAGGAGCCCGTTGACTCCGCCCCAGGCCAGGAAGTGACTCAAAAAAACACTTTGAGATGTGGAGAAGAGAGGTCCCCGTTGGGTGAGAAACCCGGGAAAGCCCGCCCAAATTCGGGCACCCTTGCCCTTGTCCCCTGGGGAGGAGGCGCGGGTGAAGCTGGGGGCTCAGCAGGTACCGAGAAGAGCCGGCGCGACCTGGCGACCCTTGGCCGGAGGTGACTGTGCTGGCGGAAGGCGCTCCCCTCCCCCACGCCTGGGAGTTGGGGACAGGGGGCGGCGTTGGGAGCGGCTGGGCCAGGGTCGGCTGTGGGCAGTCCTGGGCCCTGGGTGTGGCTCGTGGAGGGACCGAGGGGGACTGCAGACGGCTGGGGGAGGGGTGGGAGTGGCTAGAACCTTGAAAATGGCAGACAAGGGGCCCCAGAGGACCTCTCAATGTAAGACCCTGGCGAGAACTTATCTTTAAGAGGCCGTCTTGGATTCGGAGGTTGGAAAATCCGTAGGAGACGGACACTTTCGTCACCTGTCCACTCCCTCTGGCCTCCAGACCGAGGTGGAACACCCTCCACCCTCTTCCTGCTTACGGCTGTGGTCATTTTTCCGAAGGCCAGACTCCCATCCCAGATAGACAGCCTTGTTTACTCATGACTTCCTCTCGGGAGAGAAGGTCTGCCTCCCAATAATCTGACATATTTCCTCTTTACCCGCCAGATGGACTCAATTGCACGTTACCTCCCTGGGTTGTTTACAAAAACTGAAACTAGGTGCAACCTGTTGCTAGCTGCTGGAGGCTGGGACACTAGGATTGGGGTTGAGGGGACAGTGAGGCTCTGAGCGGCCTTCTCCTCTTTCAGGGCTGGGGGAAGCAACCATGCCTAGCTGGGAGGCTGGCTGCCTGTCCCCAGACCGCTTTGCGGTGTCCGCTGAGGCTGAGCAGAAGGTGCAGCAGCATCAACTGCATGTGGAGCGCATCTTCCGCGTGAGCATGACCGTCCTCCCGAAGGACTGTCCGCAGAACCCTCACATTTGGCTGCAGCTGGAGGGCCCCAAAGAAAATGCCAGCAGAGCCAAGGTGACCACCTCCATGGTGCTTCCAGGGACCAAGGACTCCTGCCTCAGGAGGCAGAAGGAGGGGGCTGGGGAGAATCTGCATTTCTTGGTTGTCTTGCAGGCAACCAGAATGCACCTGAGCTTTGAGGGACTTCCCACCTCTACCTTTGTTTGGAGTTTTGGCCTAATTTTTGCGATGATGGCACGGGTTCTGCCAGAGTTTGGGAATAAATCACTCTGTGCCATTGGGGAAAGTAGAGATAATATCTCCCACCACCCCAGGCTTCACCAAAGAGTTCACTGAGGCCAGGGTTTTAATATGTCTCCACCACCTACCAGCTTTGTAATGAAAGAGTCTCAATTGCCTTATCTATAAAATGGGAATAACAGCAGTTTCCACATAAATATTCCAGGCATCCTGGAATTTGGGGGAAGAACAATGAGCCTGCAGGGATGGTCAGGCCACTTAGGATTCCAGCACTTTCATTTTTGTGACCTTTTCCCTGACAGGAGTACCTGAAGGGTCTTTGTAGCCCAGAGCTGCAGGATGAAATCCACTACCCTCCCAAGCTGCATTGTGTCTTCCTGGGAGCCCGGGGCTTCTTTCTTGACTGTCTGGCCTGGAGCACGTCAGCCCACCTGGTGCCAGGAGCGCCTGGCTCATTGATGATCAGTGGCCTTGCTGAGGCCTTTGTCATGGCTCAGAGCCGGGTGGAGGAGCTTGTGGAGAGGCTGAGCTGGGATTTTCAGTTGGGGCCGTCCCTGGGAGCCTCTCAGTCTGCTGGGGTACTGAGAGACTTTTCTGCCTTACTGCAGTCCTGGGAAGATGCCCACAGAGAGGCCCTGCTGCAGCTGCCCCTGGCTGTCCAGGAGGAGTTGTTGAGTCTGGTGCAGGAGGTATCCAGGGAGCAGGGTCCGCAAGCACTTCCCTGGGATGGGAGGAACCCAGGCATGCTGGGTGCTCAGTGCCAGGAAGTCAGAACTTACCCGAGTGCAGGCAGGGAGTCCTTGGACACTGGGTCTATGGGGCAGGGAGATTCAAGGGTAGTGAAGGGAGACAGTTATGCTGTGAAGAAGGAGGAAGGGAAACAGAGCAGGCCCAGGGAGATGGATTTGGGGTGGAAGGATCTGCCTAGGGAAGAGGACTGGGAGAAAGACGTGGCTTTCAGGCCGCAGTTAGTGGGTGAAGGGGCAAGGGAGCTAGAGCCCCTGAAAGGGAAGGCCCTGGGGAAGGAGAGGGTGCCCCAGGAAAGAGGAGGTGTCTGTGTCCAGGGTCTTCCTCCTGGCGCTCATGGCCCCTATCAGAGGGCAGCTCAACCCCGGGGAGCCTCTCTCCTCCAGCGGCTGCACAATGGGCAAGCCTCACCTCCAAGAGTGCCTAGCCCTCCACCTGCACCAGAACCCCCATGGCACTGTGGAGACAGGGCAGACAGGGCAGACAGGGCAGACAAGCAGCAGGCTGGGGCTCGAGGTCGGGGGTCTCCATGGAAACGAGGCACCCGGGGCAGCAACTTAGTGACTGGCACACAGCGTTTCCAGGAGGCACTACAGGATCCTTTCACCCTTTGCCTTGCCAACGTGCCTGGCCAGCCAGACCTCCGTCATATTGTCATTGATGGCAGCAACGTAGCCATGGTGTGAGTACCCGGTGGGGCTAAGGTCCTAGGGAGGACCATGGGGACATGTGCTGAGGGGCCAGCCTGCAGCCAGGCTGTCAGGCCCTCTCTTGGGCCCCCAGAGTGACCTCTTCCCACTGCAGGCATGGCCTCCAGCATTACTTCTCCAGCCGGGGCATTGCCATTGCTGTGCAGTACTTCTGGGACCGTGGCCACCGTGACATAACTGTCTTTGTGCCTCAGTGGCGCTTCAGTAAGGATTCCAAGGTCAGAGGTGAGTTGCGCCTGGTCTTCTCTGTCCTGGGGTAGGCTCTGTCTCCAACCTGAAGAGAACCCTGTTGTGTTCTTTTTCTAGAGAGTCACTTCCTACAAAAGCTATACTCCCTCAGCCTGCTTTCCCTCACCCCCTCGCGAGTCATGGATGGCAAGAGGATTTCCTCTTATGATGACAGGTACTGGCTTCTCTCCTGGCCCCAAGCTTAATATTCAAGGAACCTAAGAGGAGACTGAGGGGGAGAGAGAGATGCTCCTGACCATTCCGCTGTCTCCAAGCCTCAGTAGTGGGAAAGAGGCCAGTTGTTTGCCTGTATGCCCTTATGACTGGGTAGGTAAACCTGCCCTGTGGGTGAGATGAGACAGACTGTAGACAACTGTGTTTGCACATTCACTATTCAATCTTTACTCATCAGACTAAATCATGCCTCTTTTATCTAGTGCCTTATTATCTAGAAAATACTGGATTAACAGAAGAATGGGAAAGGGAGTGATGTAAATAATTGATAGTTGCCTTCTTATAACCTGACTTTCCAAATGTGTCAAGGAACTTAAATATTCTGATAAAACCACAGTAAATGTTCAGAATAACAAGTAAAACGAAGAAACACAATCCAAGAATAATAGGACTATAAAAAACATAGTGTAGTAGAAAGATCACTGGACTTAGAATTGGAAGATCTGAATTTGAGCCCCAAATTTGCAGTACTCATTGACTTTGACTGTGGATCTTTCTCTTCGTGAATTAACCTCTTTGTCGCAGGGCCATCCTCCATTATTCACCTCCCCTTGTCAATATCTAAAGAAGGTAAGGTATGGGCCTGCCTCACTCAAGGTGCTAGGTGGAAGTACAGTGATAGTCTCTCTTAACTTTAACTTTGCATGGCCCAGTCAAGTGTGGCAGAGGGCATTATGTCCATTCTGCAGATGTGCAGACAGATTAAGAGTGGATAACTGTCTTTGGAAAAGACAAATTAGATCTCAAAGATGCTAGATGGCTTGAATGAAAAACACAGGGCACACTTCTGCCACAGCATGCTTATGTGATGTGGGGAGATGCACAGATTTCTAAAGCTAATTAACCAACAAGCTGATTAACCTTCATTTCTTTTAGAAGAATTTTTTAAAAAAGAAATTTTACAATTTCTTTATACTTTAGGATATTATTCAGTTCTAAAACGTTAGTTTCTAGAACACAGTAATTTTATACTTTGTCTTTTCAAATACCTTTTATACCTTAAGTAAATGTGTTCTACAGAAAGGCAGTTTGCTTTTGCCCAGTGCTATTCTGTTTTATGTCTAGATTTCACAGATTACCAAGATAAGGAGTCATCTTTCCATACCAGGATTGAAACAGCACTGAGACTGAGGATTGAGACAGTTTTAATGAATTTTAAAGGCATATGTGTCTGGGCCGTTGGGTAGGACCTGATGGGCAAATAACACAATACGAATTGAGAATTTTGTCCAGTAGCTGTGAATAAGCACAGTGGTGCTAGTATAGATCAACTGATTGAAGGCTGCTAAACAACATACAATATAACATGATAAAAGTAAAATCTTATTGACTGGAAAAGAACCTTTTGTTTGCCATAAGTATGTGATACACATTTATATGACATTTCCTGAATTTATTTCCCAAACTCTATGCCACACTACCTTTCAAATCCAACTGCCCACTTAGCACTAGGTGTAAGAGGAGGTGGGAACACTAGAAACCAGATTCTTCTTCTTTTTTTTAAATTTGCTTTTGATTTCTTTGGCAAAGGACCTGATTCTTAACTTCAAAGAAAAAAAGAAAGTATAAATCAAACATTACAAGACCTCAGAGGGAAGGGAATCCTCTTCTTGCTGTTGTTTTATGGGAAAGGAGAGATTTGTGATGAGTTTTTTTATTGAGAAGGATGTGGGATGGCTTGGATTCCTTGTTTCTAAAGCTTTAAAAAAAACACCATGCATCACCTCATGAGTTCTGCCCCAGTCCTGTGAAATCAGAATTACTGAAGTAGTAACCAGGCTTCTATTTTTTTTAGAGGTTCCCCTGGTGAATCTGTTCATTAGCAAGGTTTGAGAAGCACCTTACAAATGGAGGGAACAGTTTGAGAAACATGGAAGTCAGACAGCACAGGGCTTGTTTGGAGACCCGGGTGTAATCCGAGCATTGATTTTGGTTGGAGTTGAGGGTACATTAGGGAATCCTGGGAGAGAGAAGGCTGGAAGGGTGACTTGAAGCTGGGTTTCCAAGGGCCTCAGCTACCAGGGCTGGGCATGTGGACTTTCTTCAGGGGACAAAGGGCCAATGTGGAAGTTTTGTGTAGAAAAGAGCATGCTTTCTTGGGGGAGGGAAGGAGAGGATAGAGGGTGATGAATGATTAGAGGGAGCCCCCCTTGTTGGGAGGCTGTTCAGATATTCATTACTAAGGTGGTAATGATGGGACTAGAAAGGAAGGGAACAGAGTGGAAGGCTTTCCAGAGAAGAACATGTCGGACTTGTAAGGAACTGGTGGGGCAGGGTGGAAGATAGAGCCAGATCTTACTGTCTGTCAGTAACAAGGGAGTGTTGAGTGAAGATCGTGGTGAGTGGATGAGATGCTATTGGAAGACCACCTTGCATCGCCTTTGTTTTCTCTGTAACCCATGGCACCAGCGTCTAGTTAGTCACCTGTGCCTGGGTCAAGATGAGGGCGAGGCAGATGTTCATCACCAGAAGTGGGTCATGGGAGTCAGTAACACCTGGGATCAGGGTTTTGGAGAATCCCAGAATGGTTGCTTTGGTTTTGGTACAGGTTCATGGTGAAGCTGGCTGAAGAGACCGATGGGATCATTGTCTCCAATGACCAGTTTCGGGACCTGGCAGAGGAGTCCGAGAAGTGGATGGCAATCATCAGAGAGCGGTGAGGGAGCCCTTCCCTGAAAATAGGGCACGGACTCAGACCTTTCTCTAAAACCAGCTCTGCTCTGTCTACCGGTGAGAACTCTGGGAGGGAGCTTGAAGTTGCCTCGAAGGATGGTAGCCAGCAGCTTCTGGTGGTGTTGATCTCAGCTGTGTGGGAGGTGGGCGAGTACCCTGCTTTGACCACACACTGTCTTTCCACGTCTAGCCTGCTGCCCTTTACATTTGTGGGAAACCTCTTCATGGTCCCTGATGACCCGTTGGGGCGACATGGCCCCACTCTGGATGAGTTCCTAAAGAAGCCAGCAAGGTAATGCCCCAGACTACCACAGGCAGCCCATAGCCCTGGCTTTCTCTCTGCAGGCCTGTAGACTTGGGTGAAGTGTGACCTCAATTTAGGTCAGCTTAATTCTTCATCACAGAAGGTTGAGTAGGCAGTAGGTTGAGTGGGCTTGGGGTCTCCCTTTAAAAGCTTTCCAGGGAATCCTGACACAACTTCTTCACTGGGAGGGAAACACCTGCTTCCTGTTTCCTTTAATCTGTGTTTTCGGTGGTGTTATTTGCTTGTATGGATAGCCAGTTGTATTCAGTACACCCTCTGCCGGACCATTAAGTAAGTGATAAATTTAGGACTAGAACTAGTTTACAGTAGTGGCAGGGTTCACCTTCCTGGTTTCAGAGGAGCTGGCCATCTCCCCTTCAAATGTGGGTTGATGCTGCCACTAAGTGGTCAGCTTAGGGAACTTCAGGATTCCTTCGCCAGAGACAGGGATAGGAAAGACAGGAGCCAGGAGGCCCACTGAGGTCTAATTTCCCTCCAGGATGCTTATCAGTGTTTTTTGTTCTGTTTCTTTTCAGGACACAGGAGATTTCTAAGGCTCAGAAAACTTCCAAGGGCTTTGCAGAACATGCTAAACAGCAGCAGGGGAGAGAAGAGGAAAAAGGCAGTGGTGGCATTCGGAAGACCCGGGAGACAGAGCGGCTCCGTCGCCAACTGCTGGAGGTGTTTTGGGGTCAGGATCACAAAGTAGACTTCATCCTGCAGCGGGAGCCATACTGCCGGGACATTAACCAACTGTCTGAGGCCCTGCTCAGTCTCAACTTCTGAGCTTCACCTGCCTCCTGGCTGGAGCCCTATCAACTCCAGCCTCTCCCAGCTCAGCCCCTGCTGTGAGGGTCTCTCTGCTGCTCAGACTCTGACCCAGACTCACTCTGAGTTGGTACTTTGGGTAAGGAAGCACCAAGGAAGAGCATTTAAGTGTGAAGAATGCTTTTTCCTGGGGCACTTTGAGTACAGGTCCATAAAGTGACCTGACATCAAGTCAGGACCTCAGCCAGCTCTCCAGGGGTTCTGCTCAGTCTTAACTTCTCAACTTTGCCTTAGTATGGGTTTCTGTAGGGACTGGGGGTGCTGAAAAGGGTAAGTCTGGGATCTGGGGCTGAATTGGGGAAGAGGCTAGGGTGGGTGAGAGGTGGTAGGAAGCTAAGCCTTTCCTCCTCCTGATGCTTCTCTGGATGATCAGAAAACAGGATGCTTTCCAGGGCTGGCCGGGCTCCTGGGAGAGAGGAGGGAATGCTGAGCCCTGGTAGGGCTACAGTGTCATGTGGCCTGGGTGGCAGGAGGGTAGCAGTGAGCTGGTAAAGAAGGCAGAGAGAGACTTGGCTTTTGGTCTTAGCTGCGCTTGTCTGTGACCCTGATTGAGCTGCTTGGCCTTTACTTCTGTCTACAAATCAGGGGTAAAAATTCCTTTTGGGAGGAGAAATGAGAACATGGAGGAAAGCTCCTTGGAGAAAAGGTACTTGGACCACGTCTTAGGTGGTTGCCTGTGGCCATACAGGCTCCCTAACCCAAACCTCAGAGATGTGGGTCCTCTGTCTCCAGGGCCCACAACCTAGATTTTTAGCACTGTGTCCTCAGTATAACATGCCCTATAATGGCTGCATCCTTTTTGAGTAACCTCTCAATCTACATTTAGAAAATAAATTAGGGGTAATTGCTTTACCAAAATACTCTCAGGGTTCCTGTAAATGGCAGCTCTTCCTTTGCATTCAAGGGTGTTTACAGACTAATAAATGTATCACAAAGTCCCTGGTTAGTTGCACTTGCTGAACAGATTGACAGTGTTAATGTGCTGTCTTAACATTTTTGCTACATTAGACATACGTTGCATAAAGCAAGATGCACTTCTGCTTTGTGTGTATATGGGGATGGGAGGGCTTATAGAGGTTGAACCAAGGGGTTTTAGATCAGTGGTTCTCAACCTTCCTAATGCGGCGGCCCTTTAATACAGTTCCTATGGGTCGAGACCCACAGGTTGAGAACCGCTGTGGTAGATAATCCAATTATCTGGCAAATGAAAACTATATAGTCATTGTTGGAAGGCATGTGATTGGCCACCAGAACAATTCTGCTATCACATCATGAGATGCTTTCTCCACTCTGATTCCTATAGGCATGGTCCCGTGTCTGCTTGAAGTCCTGTACCTGGGAATTTACTGCCTCCAAGGTAGCCTATTGCTTATGTGGACAGTATTAACCAAGAGTCCTTCCTTTAGTGCAGCCCAAATATGCTTTTTTATCACTTTCCCCTTTGAGGCCAGTTATTCCACTAGGAACAATACAGAGCCAGTCAACTAAAGAAATAGAACAGGTGCCTTTGGGTTTTGTTCTATCTTGGCCCTGCAGGGAGTCCCAGGACAGAATCCTTTTCAGGCTCTGACTTCTGCCTCCCTCTAAGTGGCACAGAGTTGAATTGTGCATAAGGTGCAGAATGATGATGGAGAGGGTCCCTGGGTGCTAGTGTCTTCACTTCTGCCCCTGTTGGTGATTTATACCACTAGACTGTATTGACCTGGGCTGGAGGCAGCTGTGCTGGAGACAGGCTGGTCAGGGAGATAACAATGACTCAGAGACAACTGAGTCCCCTGAGAAGAAAGGAGATTGGTCAATATGGCCTGAACTGGGGTTGGGAGTACTTCTGGTCAATGTATGACAGATAATCACAACTTACTTTTGACTTTTTTTCCCTGATAGGGTTTATAGTTCTGGATTACCCTTTTCACTTTCAGTGATGATGGGTGTGCACTAGGCCAGAGCTATCTTCTCCTCTTCTGTGCTAAAGGCTCTGGTCAACTGAAGTGGCTATATGGCCCTGTGTCTGCTTGAAGTTCATTAGTAAGATGAGAGGGAAGTCCAGGGTTTCTTATATGCAGAGATGTTGGCTTTGTCCTGCTGCAGCTTGATAAACTGGGACCACTGAACACCATGTGATTGCTTTATTGATTCATTGCCATTTGGTGACACAGACTGAAGGCTGACTTATTCCTGGGCCTCACCTCTTCCTCTGCTGGCATTCTAATGGCACCCTGTGACAGGCATGCAGGGTTATTACAGAACCCACTGGAAATGGATCATTTTCTCTTCTTTTTAAAGTTTTAATTACTGTGGGTATATAATAGATATGTCTTTATAGGGTACATGTGATGTTTTGATACATACACAATGTGAATCTCTTATTTTTTAATCATTACCTTCACCATAATCTCATACCCCAAATTTATGACCAGCTCTTTTGGCAACAGAGACTAAGAAGGGAAGATGGTGAGGAGAGATGTTGCCCATTACAACTTTCAAAACCCCATGTAGGGGAAAGAGTCTAGAGTGACATTCCTTAAAATTAATTCCAGGAGGGTCAAAGAGATTAGCTGAGGCTAGTGAGATCATTCATCTTTATTGCTTAAACTGCAAAGCATTCTCTACACAGCTTAAAGGAGAAGCAGGGAAGCAATGGACAGCAAGGTTGGAAATCCTTCTACAAGAAGTCAAAGAGGTTAAGGCCCCAACCTGAAGAGATTATGGCCTTGAGACTGGACAGTCTCTCAGCTAAATAAGATGGAACAACAAATAAGAAGGAGGAATCCCTAAGAATCCGATGGCTTCAGATCTCACACACAGGAGTAACTGAGCCTATCTACAGTGTCTAACCACGAAGCTTCTGTTAAGGGACAGGACTCAGGCCCTTGCCATGTGCTTCTTTACCTAGGCTACGACTTCCTTCAAGGCAGCCCCTAACTCTGGGAAGGAATACTGGTAGCCTGTGGCCAGTGTCCGCCGTGGGATCACCTTCTGGCCTTCCAGCAGCATGATGGCACGCTCTCGCCCAAAGACAGCTTGTACCACAGTAGTAGGAAGAGGGAGGAATGCTGGGCGGCCCAGGGCAGCACCCAAGGCATGGGCAAATGCAGCATTTGTAGTGGTGGAGGCTGGAGCCACTCCATTCAGGACCCCCTGCACGTGGTTTGCTTCAAGGGCATAGGTCAGGATTCCTGCCAGGTCTCTGATGTGAATCCAGGGGAAGAATTGGCGGCCTGTGCCGATGGGGCCCCCCAGGCCCAGGCGGAAGGGGAGCAGCATGTGGCCAATGGCACCACCCCCACGGCCCAGCACAACCCCTAGAGCAGGCAAGAGAGATGGTACAGGGAGGCCCCTGAGTCTTCAAGCAGCCCTACTCACGCTCCCACTTTCTCAGATTCCCTTTTCCTCATGCTGATCCAGCTAAGTGGAAGGGTATCGGTCAGGTATGGCTCTCTTTGGGACTTCTATTCTCCTGTTTGTAGGTTGGCCAGAAGAGGTGGCATACTCTTATACTCTGTAGGTTCAGCTCCCCTGATCCTACCACTCCCCCAACCCAGAGAAGATGTTCTAACACTTCCTGATACCCAGGCCCCTGGTTCTCACCGGAGCGCACCACCACCTGTCGTGTAGAATCTCCAGGAAGCCTGGCTGCAGCTTCCCATTTGGTTACGAGGTTGGAGAAAAAGTCAAAATCCCCTCCTGAGCTGTCTTCATCATACTCTGCTGTCAGGCTGGGCTGGTAGTAAGCTGCCGGGAGAATAGCATGCATTTGCCCTGGTGTCCTTGGTCCTGCCTGGCTCTTTGCAGTGGAAGCTCTCGTTGGCCTATCCTCTTTGGCCCTTTACATCTTCCCATGTGAAGACAGAACCATGAATATTTTCCCCTTGAGCTTCTCCATAACCTGATCTGTTCCTTTGGCTGCAGGGCTAAACTTAAAGGCTGCTAGAGTACAGTGGTTAAAAACAGAAACTTGGGTGCCAGGGTGCCTGAGTTTTAATCTTAGATCTGCCATTTATTAACCCAGTGACTAGAGGCAGATTACATAACCTCTCTGTATGGAAATTCACATTTTGAAAATGGGAATAACAGCACCTACCTCATAGGGTTGTTGTGAGAATTAAATGATGTGATATATATAAAGTACTTCAAAAAGTGACCTGTGCGCACATAATAATTGTTTGCAATTATGTGGTCCTAAAGGTGACATACAACAATCAGGAACTCTATTCCCAAAGAACTGTAGTGTGAGAAGCAAGGGACTTGGGAGTAGATGGACTTTTCTCTGGCACTAGGAGCAGTGGCATCACTCTTTCTCTCAGCGTCTCCATTTCTCAGTGAAAGTATCCAAAGGTTAGGAGAAACATGCATGGCTCAAGGGCCTGGGAAGTTATTGTGTCTGGAAAAGACCAGTGTTCTGGGGTGAGGTCCTGAACTATCCTCTCACTGGGCACCCCTACCCTCCCCCTGGCTAATTTGGGGGCATACCTACACCTGTGACTAAGATCCAGGCCTGGGGGGGTTGTGGGGCCTTGGCGATGGCTTTAGCTAGCATTTGGGTAGTCTCCAGGCGGCTGCTGAGAACCTCTTTTTGGAAGTCTTCATTCCACCTGCAGGAGAAACATCGAAAAAACCCACAGAGGCTTGGTGCCTGTGGCTCAAGAGGCTAAGGCGCCAGCCACATACACCTGAGCTGGCAGGTTTGAATCCAGCCTGGGCCCGCCAAACAACAATGATGGCTGCAACCAAAAAATAGCAGGGCATTGTGGCGGGCACCTGTGGTCCCAGCTACTTGGGAGGCAGAGGCGGGAGACTCGCTTGAACCCAGGAGTTGGAGGTTGCTGCAAGCTGTGATGCCATGGCACTCCACCCAGGGTGACAGCTTGAGGCCTTGTTCCCCCCCCCCCCCAAAGCCACAGATACATCCATGCATATATCCCTCCCTCTCTCTTTGGGGAGGGTTCCATATCCATTTCTAGTAAAACCCTGAATTGTGTCTCAAGACAAACCGTACTTGTCTCCTGTAGAGGGAAAGTATGCCCCGAGTTGTACGTGAGGACTTCAGTCAACTGGCTGACCAGGGAGGGGCAAATGGGAGTGCAGTGGGCAAAATGAGTAGTGTGGGATATCGGCTTAGTTTCCAAGGGCACCTCCATGCATGCACGGGTTCGCAAGTTCTCGTCGGAGTCCGACCCGCTCTCGAGAGCTCTGCTCTGGAGGATACCAATTTTAGGGCCTGGACTGACCTTCGGAGAGGGTTGAGGATGTTTTCTCCAGCCAGGTTGACTGCGGCATCACAGCGAGGCAGCCCCGACAGAGCGAGCTCATCCTGTCAGAAAAAGCACAGTGTCCCCTGCCAGCCCCTCGCCTCCCACAGGCCTCCAGAGGACCGACATACCCACGTGATCCGGCCTGGCCCAGGCTGTCGGGAGACCAGTGTCACTTCGTGGCCCTTGGCTTTCAGCAGCTGGGTTAGGGCTGTCCCAATGAAGCCCGTCCCACCACCTGATCGGAAAACACAAATTGTTTATGTTCCCGGAAGGCGGGGAGGGGCGCGCTTTCAGTTCCCGCTCGTGACCCCCTGCTCTGGTGCCATCCCATCTGACGTCAGACTTCCGCCCTCCTCCTCTTTCCCTCCCGGAGAAGCAGAGGTGACACAGGTCACAGGGGTTAGGGAGGTTCGGCTTCTCGGGCTAGGAGGCCAAGGCCAGGCTGCCTGACAAGAGACAGTGCCCTCCCGGCAACGGCCTCCCAGCCCTCAATGTCAGGCTAAACACGCCCCCAACTCTCTCTCTCTCTCTGCCCTCCCTCACCCACGAGCACTCGCATAGCGGCCAGGACCTAACGCGCCCGCGCCAGCCGTAAAGCGCGCCCCACCTCTCGCGCGATTGGGACGTCTCTGAGCATGCGTATTCTGGGAAGCGTGCTCTTATTGGGGGCAGACAGGTTGTGACTGGGCGTGCCTTTGCCTGAGACTTGGATTTATATTCATATAATACAGCGGTTCTGAACCTGTGGGTTGCGACCCCTTTGTAACAATGAAAATACATCGCGGCACTAGGAAGGTTGAGAACCACTGATTCTCAGGCTATGTACTTTTTTTCTTGGTATAAAAGGAAGGTTGAGAACCACTGATTCTCAGGCTATGTATTTTTTTTCTTAGTATAAAAATTTATTATACTTAAAGAATATTAGCACTAATGAACGCAACCTAGGATACCATGGTGTTGAATGGAAGATGGCTAGTTCTTTGGAAAGTGGACAGGTTTAGGTAGGGTGACCAGACGTCCCGCTTTTCAACAATTTGTCCCGTGTCCCGCGGCGTTTTAAAAAAGTCCTGTTTTTTGGAAAAAATGCTCGAACGGGCGGGAGAACAGGAAGGGAATATACGGTTTTTGGCTCCCATGTGGCTATTTTGCCAGAATATGAGTTTTATATTATTTTTGTTAATTTTATAATGTTAAACTGTAATAATAACAAATAATTGCTGAGAAGTGATGATGGAGAACTGCTTATCAAAGTTTGCATTGTTGTCAGGCCCTGCCCTGCCCCGCCCCTGCCACGCCCCCTCCCCGCCTCCCGCCATGTTGTCCCGCCTTACCGATGTTAAAATCTGGTCACTCTAGGTTTAGGTGGTTTGGGCCACTTTGGTCAGACAGAAGAGCACATGTGAAACACTGCGGCACCAGGGAACCAAGTGACTGCTCTGTGGGCCCATGCTGCCTTCCCTGCCTGATCGGGGGCTTTCAAGAATGTCACATCCAGAAGAAAGCAACTAAGTTAAAGGGGCTAAAGTGGCTCAGGCTTGACTCTGAAATCATGGTTTTGGGGGTGGGGTGGGGGTCTTGGTTCCCCAAAGCCAGTTGACCTGGTTTGATTGCTGAGCTAGAATGTTCAACTGAGGCAAAGTAATAATAAATGGAAACTGGAACAGCACAGGCAGGGTGGATAGCAAACAAAAATAACCCACACAAGTTTAAGGGTAACAAAGAGAGATTTTATTTAAGAAGAACAGAGAAAGTTGAAAGCACTTTCAAATAGAGTTGGAAGTGAGTCCTTCTCATGGAAGAGAAAAGGTGGGAGAGTCCCAGAAGTTGAAATTGGTTGCAAGTCTTTCATTGGCCTCTCTGACTCCAGGCCTATTGGATTGTCCTTTTCTATTGGTCATTGATTGTCTCTTTCTATTGGTCATTGGTTACCTAGGTTACTCTGTACCCACATTCTTATGGGTTCTCCCGACTTCCGGGTTCAACAGGCCAGGCTTTCCTCCCACCCTCCTTGAAGCACCCTTCTTAGTGTCTCTTCTCAAGGGCAACACCATTTTAAGCAATGTGTTTAATTAGATGGTTTCTACAAACTATACACGAAGATTCTAACCATCACAATTCGGTAAAGTACAAAACATCAAGTTTCTGGCTGTGGGAAGAGAAAGCAGCACCCGTGGTGGCATCTTCCAATCTGCTTATTCTAGGGGCAGAGGGGAGGGGAAGGTCTTTTTAAAACTAAGGCCCTCATTTCAATGTACAAAAGAATTACTGTGATCAATATTAAATTATATTGAAAACAAAATGGATTAAAAAGCAAATACTACTCTATGTTGGGGAGAAGTAGGAGGAAAGAATGAGTCCTTCAAAGCAGGAAGGAAGACAGCTGGGGGAAGGTTCTGTGGTTGTGACCCTGGAAGGTCACTCACACAGCTCCATTTTTACTTTCTGTGGTCTCTGGTTTTTCTTCTTTCTATTTGTTTGGAAGTCTCACTAGCTGTCCACATGACCATCTTGACTTTCCGCAACGTTTTTTTTTTTTTTTGCCATTCTTTCTCATTTGGCTTTTTTCTTGAGCTTCGTTCTGTTCTTCCCTTTGTTGTTTTCCTTTCATATATCTTTTTGTTTTCTCTTTCCTTTTGAATTCCAGCTCAGCAAAGCGTTTCATGGTCTGTTTATATACTGCGTGTTTGAATAACTCAGAATCCTCCTCCCCTACAGCTGTAGGTTTTCCTTCCTTTCTTTTTTTTTCTCTTTTGCAGGGTGTTCCACATAGTCTTTTCCTGGCTGAGTTACATCTGGCGCCCTCTTCTGTTCCTGATCCAGTAGCACCTTGTAAGCTTTGTCCACGGCTTCAAAATCTTTTTGTGCTGTCAGCATCATCTTGATTTTTGTCAGGATGCACCACTAGGGATAACTGCCTAGATCTCTTTTTTATTTCCTCATCTGTAACTTCAGGATCTATCTGAAGAACCTCAAATGGGTTCAAATTGAAGAGGAACGGGGGAGGGGTCAGTCTTTCTACTTGATTTTTGGATGTTAGAACCGGATCTCTTTTCTCTATTTGTCAGACCTCACTGAAGAAGGTCGTCAGTGCTTCCTCTGTGCTGCCACCATAGCCTGAAATCTCTCCCTGAAGCAGCCATGAGGCCATCAATCTCTGATGCTTGCTATGCCTCCTCTAAATTCTTTTCATGGTTAAGCTAGGACCTTCTTTGCTTTTGTTTTTTGAGACAGAGTCTCACTTTGTCATCCTTGGTAGAGTGCTATGGCATCATAGCTCACAGCAACCTCAAACTTTTGAGCTCAAACGATTCTCTTGCCTCAGCCCCGAGTAGCTGGGACTACAAGCCCCTCCACCCCCACAATACCTGGCCGGCTATTTTTTTATTTTTATTTTTTTTTTTAGAGATGGGGTCTTTCTTTTGCTCAGGCTGGTCTCAAATTCCTGAGCTCAAGCTATCTGCCTGCCTCAATCTCCTAGAGTGCTGGGATTATAGGTGTGAGCCTCTGTGCCAGTCTCCTAGGACCTTCTCATCCCACTCTACACTTTCTTCCACGTCTCTACACTTTGAATTCAGTTACCAGTATTTTACAGAAGCCTTCCCAAATCTCCTATGCATCTCAGATTTCCCCTGTAAGAAATCAGATGTTTGAAACCCTGTTGATTTGACTTACCGAATATCTCCTAGATCCATCTACTTATCTCTGCCACCACGACCATCATAGAAATTATTCTTTCTTGCCTACATTTCTGCAATAGTCTTTTGCTTTTTCATGTTTCTCTTCTCTAAACTACTGCACACCTTGCAGGCTGAGTGATCTTTGAAAAACACATTGGAGGAACACCATAATGGCCTATGTATTAAAAAACTCCCAGTACAAAATTCCTGGATATGCTGGATAAAATTTAACACACCTCCATTTAAACGTATTGCCAAGTTAGCTAAAAGATAAAGGAAATCTCCTTTATTTATTTATTTATTTTGAGACAGAGCCTCAAGCTGTCCCCCTGGGTAGAGTGCTGTAGCATCACAGCTCATAGCAACCTCCAACTCCTGGGCTCAAGCAAATCTCCTGCCTCAGCCTCACAAGTAGCTGGGACTACAGGCACCCGCCACAACACCTGGCCATTTTTTGGTTGCAGCCGTCATTGTTGTTTGGCACGCCTGGGCTGGATTTGAACCTGCCACCTTAGGTGTATGTGTCTAGCGCCTTAGCCACTTGAGCCACAGGTGCTGAGCCTTCTTTATTTATCATTTAAAAAAAAAGTGTGCCTTGGTACTGAGGCTATCAGAAATTCTTTTCTTGGCCAAATTTTAGCCAGGCTTCTGAAACTTCTCATTAGGCCCATCTGTATACTTCTAAAATTTGTTAAAATCCAGTTATAGAAAAAAGGCCTGGTAAGCCAGTTTAGCAAGAATCCCCCAACCTTGTTATCTGATCACCCTTGATGTCTGATTAGCTGTCTCATCATCCATCATTCCCCAGTTGATATCTGATCACTCTGGCCTACCTTTTTTGTTTGTTTGTTTCAGTTTTTGGCGAGGGGCCGGGTTTGAACCCTCCACCTCCGGTATATGGAGCCGGTGCCCTACTCCTTTGAGCCACAGGCGCCGCCCCACTCTGGCCTATCTTAAGCAAGAATCTTGTTAGGTTGAGTTAGCCCAAATCCCCCTTACCCCAATGTTTCCTCTTGGTAATTTTTCATCCACTGACCCCTACCCTGTTCCTTGGGTATAAATTCCCACTTGCCCATGTTGTATCTGGAGTTTGCTCAATCTCTCTTCCTCACTACAAGACCCTGTTACAGTGGTCCTTATAATTATTGTGATAGTCCTGAGTAAAGTCTTCCTTACCTTGCTTTAATAAGCATCACTGTGGCAGTGCCTGTAGCTCAGTGGGTAGGGCGCTGGCTACATACACTGAGGCGAGAGGGTTTGAACCCGGTCTGGGACAACTGCAACAACAAAGAAATAGCTGGGCATTGTGGTGGGCACATGTAGTCCCACTATATGGGAAGCTGAGGTAAGAGAATAGCTTAAGCCCAAGAGTTTGAGGTTGCTGTGAGCTGTGATGTCATAGCACTCTATCGATGGTGCCATAGTGAGACTCTGTCTCAAAAAAAAAAAAAAAGAAAAAAAAGAAAAAAACAAGTATCACTGTATACTTTTTTCTTTAGCAACTACTTTATGGTTTTCAGTCTCAGTAACCCAGAAACTTGGGTGATAGGGGACAATGCCTGAGACCCTAGCAAGACTGGAACTCTTGGGTCCTAAAACCTTCTCTTCCCACTCTATGTGGGTGGGCTGAGTCCTTTGGGAAAAAGTAAGCTTTAAAAAGCCCACCTAGTAGCAACCAGTGTTACTAGGAAACTTTTTTTTTAAATTTCAGAGACTGTTAAAAGGGTGCACATATTTTGGTTACATAATTTGCTTTTGTACATTTCAGGTCAGAGTTATAAGTGTGCCCTTCACCTCAAATTTATGCATTGTACCCATTACAGGAAACTTTTTTTTTTTTTTTTTTTTTTTTCTGAGACAGAGCCTCAAGCTGTCCCCCTGGGTAGAGTACCGTGGCATCACAGCTCATAGCAACCTCCAACTCCTGGGCTCAAGTGAGTCTCCTGCCTCAGCCTCCCAAGTAGCTGGGACCACAGGCGCCCGCCACAACGCCCGGCTATTTTTTAGTTCCAGCCATCATTGTTGTTTGGTGGGCCCGGGCTGGGGATTCGAACCCGCCACCTTAGGTGTATGTGGCTGGCGCCTTAGCTGCTTGAGCCACAGGCGCTGAGCCAGGAAACTTATTTTTATAGGCTTTGCTTTTGGCTAGGATTGGTTGTATAAAAATTTGGTCTTCTCTGAGAAGTTATCTTATTTTTCTACCTTCTTGCAGTTTGGATTAATTGTCACCTGTGTGGCCTAGGGAGCTCTAACTTAAGAATTAAAGTCTGGGAATACAAAAATCGTCCCTCACTTTCATTTCAAAGGACTTCAGTTGATAAAATCTTGTCAAGCATGAACACAAAATCTAAAATTATAAAACACACAAGGAAACAAACTCATCTGAGGAGGAGTCAACAGAGACAACAAACAGCAGTTAGATAATCAAGGATTTCAAATGTTAGGACTTTGAGACATAGACTATAAAATGAACACGTTTAAGATGTTTAAGAAAGAGGACCAGGCAGGGTGGCTCATGTCTATAATGCCAGCACTCTGGGAGGCTGAGATGGGAGGACTGCTTGAGGTCAGGACTTTGAGACCAGCCTGAGCAAGAGTGAGAGCCCTATCTCTACTAAAAATAGAAAAGTTAGCTGGGAGTTGTGACTGATGTCTATAGTCCCAGCTACTCAGGAGGCCAAAGCAGGATGATTGCTTGAGCCTAGGAGTTTGAGGTTGTTGTGAGCTAGTTTGAGGCATTCTAGCCCTGGTAACAGAGTGAGATTCTGTTTCTTATAAAAAAAAAAAAAGTTTAAGAAAGAGGAGAAATGAAAAACATGAGAAAGGGACAAGATACTATTGAAAAAAAATCTCAAGCGCAGTGCCTGTAGCTCAGTGGCTAGGGCATCAGCCACATACACCACAGCTGGCTGGTTCAAACCCAGCCCGGGCCTGCCAAACAACAATGACAACTACAAACCCCCTCCCCCCCAAAAGGAAAAAGGTCTCAGCAGAATTGACAACAATATAAACTTAGAAAAATGAAAAATATAATGAGTACAATTTTATAATTTAGTCAATTAGTTTAACTATCAGGGAATAGATTTAGGCATTGGTTAAGAGAGGATTATTCGATAATGAAGAAATTACTGAGAATGCAGCAGAGACAGAAAAAAAGGTAGAAAATGTAATAAAGAGGGCATGCGACAAGGAAAATAAAGTAAGAAATTATGACTCATGTATTTTGTATCTCAGAAGAGAGGGGTCAGAATAGGATAGAAAAATATTTGGTGAGATAATAGCTCATGGTTTTCTCAAATTAATAAAAGGTGCATATACTCAGATTCAGTCAGTAAGCAAAATGAGTTTCAAGTAGGATAAATAAAAAGAAATCCATACTTAGTTCTATGATAGTAAAAACCACAAAAACAAAGACAGAGAAGAGATATTAAATGCAGTCAGAAAGAAGAGATAGGTTATCTATAAAGAAATAACAATTAGATGGCAATTGACACCTAAACTGCAACAATGTAATCCAGGGGAGTAACATGAGGGTAAAGAGAAGATTGTTGCCAAACCAGAATTGTCCACCAACAGACCATTCAAGAATGAAGGCAAGATGAGGCTACTTTTTTTTTTTTTTTT